AACGCACTTCGGCCTTCCGCAAGACGGAAGCATTATTTGTTTCCTTTCAACCATCAACTATGGGAAAGAAGGTGTCTTCTTCCACCATAGGTAGGTGGATCAGGGCCTGCATAGCCCAAGCCTACGTTTCGCAGGGACTGCCAGTACCCGCACATGTGACTGCGCATTCAACACGGAGCGCAGCCACATCTGCGGCATGGCTAACACAAGCGCCGGTGGAAGAAATTTGCAAGGCAGCAACTTGGTCTTCACCGTCCGTCTTCATTCGGCATTACCGTTTAGACTCCCTTGCCGCAGCAGATGCTGCTTTTGGTAGAAGAGTGCTACAGCAAGTTGTGTCTGCTCAGAATTCGGTAGCCTAGACATTCCCTCCCAAGGGGACATGAGGGCTTTGGTATGTCCCATCCATTGGACTCTACAGCCATCCTGCTGGAGAAGGGGCGTTGTCTTACCTGAACGCCTTTTCTCAGCAGGATGATGTAGAGTCCAAGCCCACCCAGGGGTTAGGTCTAGGCAGGTATATAAGAAAGAGCTGCAATATCAATTCCAACAAAGTTTCTCGCCTAAGTCAAAACTGGGGTCACGCCCAAAGGAAGGGGTGTGGCCAAAGTTTTTACCCAGTCTGCCGGGCAGGAAGGCTGTCATAGAACCCATCCATTGGACTCTACATCATCCTGCTGAGAAAAGGCGTTCAGGTAAGACAACGCCCCTTCTCAGTTGCCTTAATAGTCTTCACTCAAAGCTTTGTAGGGATTCTTGATACCTCTCATTTGAAGCTTGCATAAAACACACTTCTGTCAGTTATTGCCAAATACCTAGAATTTTCCTCTATTGTAAAAGCTTCTAAATATTTTAGTGTACAATAAGTGCACAAGATACAAGCACAGACCATTCTGTTTCAAAATTAAGAGATTTAACAATAACTATGCTGTTTGAAATCTAATCTTTGTATATTATTCAAATGTGCTTGTTTGTCTTTTAGGAATTGATATTATACAATTGTGAATGGGAACTGCTTAATTATGACCAAAGATTAGATGTACATTAAAGTGGGGAAATTGTACTTTCTGCTTTTGAATTGGCTAATGGCTTTCTGTTTCAAGATTGAAATTTGAAATTCATACAGGAACCAGCTCAGTGGGAGAAGCTACAGCATTTCTGCACATTGTAAAAGTTCTGTCCTTTGGCTCCTCTTTAGGTGGCTTTTGTAGCTGTTTAAAGTATTTCTGAATCACAGTATTTCTTTGAACCTTAACCAAATAAGTTAAAAGCAGCTTTTCTATAATAGTCATACTAAAGTAGAGATATTTACAGATTCTAGACCAGGGGTCCCCAACCCCTGGTCCACAGACCAGTACCGGGCTGTGGCATGCCAGCAACCGGTCCGCACAAACAACCAAAGCCCCATCCATGGGATGCAGGCAGCACAGAAAACCACGCACCATCTGGTCCTTGGTTACCAAAAGGTTGGGGACCTCTGTTCTAGACAATGCAGCAAAGCAACTTTTGATTTTAAAACAGATCCCAAGAGATGAGGGAGGGGAAATATTAACTTACAGTTCCACTATTTGATTTATATTGATGTTATTCTACATGCCATATAAATGTATTAACTAATAATAAGAAAAAAATACAATATTAATCACATATGCTGAACATTTATTAGTATTAATGACTAGGCTTGATTTGAGATGAAGAGATTTGCCTGTAAGTTTGAAATTAAAGCTGAACTAAAACTAATTCTTCAGAATAGGATTAAAGTAAACAAATTGAAAATAGGTGAAATTAGAATTGTCTGCTATTCTATAACAATTTCTAATTTAAACCAAAAACATTTAGATATTTTTAATTTAAAGGATAAAAAAAATCTCTGTGATAAAACATCCTATTTTAATTTCTGCCCAGTCTTGAGGATCATATTTGTATCTGTATAATATAGTGCAGTGATGGCGAACCTTTTAGAGACCGAGTGCCCAAAAACTGGCCCCGCCCCTGCTCCACCCCCTGCCCCTGCTCCACCCCCTGCCCTGCCCCCGTTTTGCCCTCCCATCCCCCGCCTGCCCACAGGGCCACTCACTGCCTCCAGGGCCCGCCGCAGATCACCCAAGCAGCCCAGCAGCGCTATGGCGGTTACGCCCTCTGCCCGCACCCTGCAGCATCAACTGTGCACGACAGGGTGTGAGGGCAGAGTCTTGTCTATGCTGCCTGGCTGGCATGTCCTTGGCTGCCCTGCTCCATGTGGGCCATGCTCAGGGGTGACTCTCCTTCAGAGAGGCTGCTGGAGAGGAGGGGGTCGCAGGGGGAGGCAAGGCTGGGGTAATGGCACGTGTGCCCACAGAGAGGGCTCCAAGTGCCGGCTCTGGCACCCATGCCATAGGTTCGCCATCACTGATATAGTGGTTCTCGTCAAAAAATAGAATCAAATTTTATGGGAAATTTTATAAATTATCCAATATTCCATTTCAACAACTAGTTGGTAAAATTTGACCCTGTGATAGATTTTTAATATTTGGTTGGGATCTCTTAATTTCTAAGTTTTGTTGCTTTCTTCTGTAGTGTCATAAAGTTGCTTCTAGAATTGCCTTTAATTGTATTTGTTTTTCCAAAAGCACAAATAACATTGTGTCTCATAGGGTCATGTTAATTTTACGCTAGAGGAATGTACTGTTGTATTGTTTCAAATTTTCTGTAGGAGGCATATTTCAATCAGGTTTCTCAAATGTCCATTTATGGAGTAGACTTCCCTTTGAAGCATTTTTTTCCTGTGTTTGGGATATGGAGAAGAATCAACTTTTGCAGAAATATGGGGAATATGATCTTCAGTGAGTCCCATTTGGTATGTGCTTGAATTGTACAGTTTAAAGTTCATAAACTATTTGAGCAGAAAAGTATAGCAACTGAAGAAACGGCAAAACACCTGCTGATTGTATAATTTAGTAAATAAATGCAGGTTGTAATATCATCTGCAGATGAATACTTAGTTCTGACAATATTCATGTCTCAATTAATATGTCACAATTGGTGGCTTGTATGTTTGCTTATTTTTTTCAACAAAAACTGAATTATAGTTTCTAATACTGGACTATAGTAAACTCCTCCCCCCCTCAATAATCCCCAAATCACCAACTTTAAGGATATAGGATTTTGTGGTTAATAGTGGAAAATGAAATATTTACATTTGCAGTGCCATTTCATCTATAAATGGTTTATCAGATCTGGGCTGGAAGAAAACATGACAGCAAAGAGATATAGGAAACAACAACTATTTGCTAGCAGTAGCTGAATTTCTGTAATACTAGAGTACTGTATACAAAGGTATACGCTAACTACAGTTACCAATTTTTATTCCTGAATTATAACAGTTATTCTACTGATTAAAAAAAACTCAGTGCCCTGAAGGGTGAAGAAATGTATAGTGATTGTGTGTAGGTCAGGGGTGTTAAACTGCTGGCCTGCAGGCCAGATGTGTCATGCCGAAACCGTGCCCACCCCATTGCCGGCAATGGAAAAAAAAGTCGCGATAAATCACAACACATCAAGTGATGTTGCGAGTTTGATACCCCTGGTGTAGGTACTACCTTGTGATGTCCTTGTTCATGATCAAACTGAGTTTATACTTTTTGTAAGGAATTCATGCATGGTATTGCTTATCTTCCTTAAGTTTTCCTCATTTTATTTGGTACTAGACAATCCTGTAACCCATTCAGTGATCCTTGGAGAAAAAGGTAGTACAGTCTGTGACCAGAATGAACATTGTATTTTAGCCTTTATTTTTTTTGCCCAGTGATGTACACAATCATCTAAGAACAGTACATATCATAAATAGAAAAAATACCAGTAGTTCTAATGGCAAACAAACTTCTATAATAAGTCAGTATTTACTTACCTAAACAGATAAAGAGGATGACCATAGACAGGCAAAAAAATAGTGGGAACGGAAAAGACTTCCAACTTCCTGTCAGATTCATTATTGACTTTTCTTGTGGGAAGGTGGCAGGGAATGTCAAAAATCACAGTCACATAACCACAGGGACACTGCAGTAGTCACAGTAAATAAAACTGATCTGAACATCATGGAAATTTGAATTCCACAAGAATAATGAGTCCAAGATTTATTATGCATTCTTTAAATTAGTGGATTTTAGATACCTTGATTCAAAAATTGCTGCAATATAATCCACTGTTTGGACTAACCTAAGGGGATAAACAGACAAACACAATGATAGTTTTAATAGTATATAAAAAATAGAACTGTGTGTCTGTATCTGTTCTAGGAGCTAATAAATTTTGATTTGTCTGACATAAGTAAATTCCAGTTTCATGATGATACAGAAATGGTTTGTGATTTTCTTTTATACCTCCACAGTAAAAATAAACTTGAAACAATTGACCCTTGTAGTTTGATTTGTGATCAGTTCATTTTATTTGTTTAGTATTTAATGTCAAATCATTAACAAAATATTGGTCAATTGGAAATAGCATTTGAATTTAATATTTACTTATATTATCTTAAAATATAATGATTAAAACAACTTCTTTAATAGCACATTTATTTGCTTTAGACATTGAGAATCCTGAAAACAAATATATATGTGATGGCTGAGTCAGTAGTAAAATGCAGTCATAATTTCAATTTTGATCCAAATTGATAAAAATATAATTTTCCTCAGGTGTAATGCTCTCTTTAATAAGAGACTATTAACACATTTATGACTATTTGAATCATTGTGCTCGGTTAATCATCGTTTATCCAAATCTGTATGTATTTGGAAATAATCATTGTTCAAAGCACTAATTATGCTTTCACATAATTTCTGTTAAAATTGTGGATATCATTTTCTGACATTTACTATAAATATGTTCTCAATAGTGCTCTGACTTGGCATTGTTCTGTAGATTTTTGAAAAGGGAGTGGAGTGATGTCAGGAAGTCATTTAATTGAAAATAAGCAATTCTTTCATGTTTTTGCCTCTGTGATTTATTTTGTTAATTTTATGCAGGAAATTCATGATCTTTTGAGTGATTATGAACTTAAGTACTGTTTTGTCGACAAATACAAAGGAACTGGTGAGTAAAATTGCATTTATAAAGTGCTTTGCTATGAATTGAGGGTGGGCTTTGTTTAACTCTTGATGGAGATGTAACAGTCTACTACTTGATGGACTCTTTCCTACTTCCTGAAATTTAAAAAGTAATTTCAGGACTAAAGCCCAATATTAATGGGGAAAGGCTTGTCTAATATTTCATTTTTCTTGCTTGCTTATACTAATGTGATCATCTTGTGGTGGTGTGTTTTAGTCTTATTGTCTGAGTGTGATTTGTCTGAGATGGTATAGGTTCTCCTGCTTGAGTGGGGAGCTGGACTAGAAGACCTCCAAGGTCCCATCCAGATTCGGTTCGGTTCTATTCTATTCTATTCTATTCTATTCTTCAGTTTTGAACATTGAAGCTTGTTTGAGGTGGCACTTGGAAAATTAGGAGCCAAAATACTTTGAGGTCTTGTACGCTCAGTATGGAAAATATATTTGCTATATCATTTCAGAGTCTAGTATTTGTATGCATTAGAATATTTTCAAAAACAAGGCTTGTGGCCAACTCAAAAATTTGTTCCAATATTGGGCCATTCGTTCCATTCTAACACTGGATTGAATGTCATGGATAGTATACTTGGATCTTACCACCCTAAAGCAGAATACCCTGTTCTCCCTCTCTGAAGCTGAGTTACTTTAATACATTAATATATTAGTTAGATCAGTGTAAAGCATGAATGCATGCATTTTCTGATAAAAAAATTACTTGGTTGTGACGAGCATTAATTGTGATTAATGCTTTATTGAGATTCAAGGTAGGAACAAGCTATCAGTAGCGCACGGCAGCTGCTTTTTTTATCTACTTGCATTGCATTGGGATGCAGTTTCTGAGGTTAGTATTCTAAAAGAGCCTGTCTTTTGCCTTTCTATAGATAGATTTAAAACTGCTTGATGAATATTTTCTTCTCAAAATAACAAAATATATATCTAGCTCTAAGAAAGACTTCAGATTAAGATTCCTATGGTCTCCATAATTCTGTATCAATCAAAAACAAAATGTTGTACTAGAAATGTGCTTCAGATATGTTTAATATGGCAAATACATTACTGAAAGGTGCACAGGAAGATGAGCAGAGCCTTGTCTCAGTGCATTTTCATGATCCTAATTTTTTTTGTTTTGAAGTGCTTTTAAAATCCAGTATAAAGATAAACAATAGAGGAAAAACATGCATTTTTGCTTAAATTAGAAAGGTCTTTGATAGAATAACTTGTAGGAAGTGAAGAATTTGACATCTGTGAATTAAAAAAACAGATCCTCTTATACATTGGCATTCTTCTCCTTTGAAAATTAGGGAACCGTAAAGTGCTAGGAGAGAAGGAGAGAAAACAATCTTTAAAAATCCATGCCTAGTTTAGTACAATGCTGACAGTTGATATATGTTTTTGGTGTTTATTTTACAAAATAACATGTATAAGGACAAGTCTTTACAAGAAGAAGGCTACAGTCTGAAGTGATAAAATAGAGGCGGCAGATGAAAGTTCTCTAACACAATTGTCTTCTTGAAATGAATCTGACCTGATTAGTATCTGGATCCTTTACACTACCCTGACTTTCATAATCATGGAGAAGAGAATATAAGTGTAAATCAAGAACTAGGGGGAGGAAAGGAAAAAAAAAAAGCAGCAGCCATGCTTGACAACTTTCTACAGCTATTTATTGTCCAGCCAGTATAGAAAGACAAAGTGATTTTTTTCTGACTAGTTGACCAAGACCATTTTTTAAATAATTGTGTAAATGTTCTGTCAGAAATCGTTAAAGAGAACTGTGCTTATATGTTTGCTATGGAGCATTTTGCCAATTGCCTTTATATCCTCTTTTCTTGTAGCTTTCGTCACCTTATTGAATGGGGAACAGGCAGAATCAGCCATTAAGAAATTTCACTTGAGCAAGCTACGAGACAAGGAGATTACAGTACAATTACAACCCACAGATGCCCTCTTATGCATTGCCAATCTGCCCCACCTTTACACACAGCAGCAGTTTGAAGACCTGGTCCGACCATTTGGGAACTTAGAGCGTTGCTTCTTGGTATACAGTGAGAAAAGGGGACACTCGAAAGGTTATGGTTTTGTGGAATACATGAAAAAGGATTCAGCAGCCAGAGCAAAGTCTGACCTATTGGGCAAACAGCTGGGAACACGGACACTGTATGTTCATTGGACAGATGTCAACCAATTGACTCTAGACCTTATTCACTCAAAATGCTTATGTGTAGATAAATTGCCCCACAGTTATAATGATCTTGAAGAACTGAGGCAAACCTTCTCTGCCATTTGTCCTCCAACATTCTGTCAGGTAAGGATCTTAGTCCCGGGGGGGGAAATAGGCTGCTTTTCTGGTGTTTATTATTGCAACAACTGCACATGACTAGCTGACTCTCCACTATGTAGATTTCCTTTACCCAAGATGCTAGGTTGTGTTGCTTATCCCTTGTCAAGCTGTAATTAAATATGGATTGCTCTTACGAATGCACCAGAATGTACACCCTGTGCAGCAAGGAAACTAACTTCTTCTCCTTGTCCCAATTTCTTAAACATCTGGAATTTTCTAAGCTTAAAGAAAATGCATATTTCTCAATATTAATAATTGAAAGTCTTTCTACTGTAAGTTTGGTGAGAACATTCAGTTTACAAACTTTTGTCATGCAATTTGCGGAAACTTCCATTGCTTTATCAGATTTTGGCAACAGTTTGTTCAAGAATCAACAAAGAAATATACGTAATTTTCATGGAGAATATCTGTTCGGTCACCAAGAGTTGGCAATGGCTTGTTGGCACATAATTTAATTAAATGCACATTTATAGAATAACACTAAAAAGGGCCTGATATAATTTAAAGATCCCCACCCCAAAACCACCTTCTATATGTCAGCCCTGATATGTTTTTCAATGTTAAGAGGAGCCCAAAAATCACATGTCTCTGAAGTCCAACAGAGCATATTGGTATATGGGCAGGAGAGGCACATGTTAATGGATGATGGTATTTCATAGCCTAGTTGAGTGACTGTGGAAATTATAATTCCTTAGACCTTCCAGTTCTTAGCCTTTGCCTCCCCTTTTTAAGGATTTTACCAAACAGTAGTTAGAAATGAATCCTTAAACAGATTCATTTTTGAAGGATGCCATGGATTCTGCAGTTTTGTTTCCCTTTAATTGGTTTATATTTGCCAAACAACTTTTGAACGGATAATGTTACCTTTATGGTCACCTAATAATAACAATACGGACAAAATCTGCTACATAAATAACCTGACTAGGGATGAACTTACATGTTATGTCATAAACCATGGTTTACAAGTCACATAACATGAGCCAGAATGAAAGAAGCCACACTATTTATTTGGAAGACTGGTACAAAACATGTTGGTTGCATTATTGTTGGTATGAATGTTCAATAAGAAACTATTGAAGGTTTTGCTTAGGCACTTACATATAAAAAGACAAGCATTTTTTTATGTGCATAATGCTTCTATTGACACAGCACTTAAATTAGTTATAGCCTTGTGTAATTTCAGTAGCAAATTAAAAAAAAAACAAAGTTGAAAAAGTTGAACGACACAGTACTGTAGTTCAGATGCAATTTCATTTTTTTACAATGTTTTGCTTAATATTTTATTTAAAATACATGTTTTCTGGGGAATGTTTTGATTGCACTAGAGATTTTTGCAGTGAGGAGGAAGTCAGTTGCAAAAGACAAAAAGAGACATTAAGTCAGGAAAGTCTGACATCTCTCTAGCCTCCATTTTTCAGAACATATGTTTTTTATATTTATATTAATTTTATTTATATTCAACTGTCTGATCCTCTGGCTGGGTGCAAATAGTGTGCTCAGCCAAAAACAAAGTAATATAAACAATATTATAGCTTAATGAGATATGTAAAGTCAGCCTGTTTATATCTCCCAACTAATTCAGGAAGACTTGCTGCTTCCATTTAAAGCATGAAGTAACTAGGTCATTTTCATAGCGCTGTTTCCCCCCTCCCCTTTCACACAGCTGGCATGTGGTCAAGATGGGCAGCTGAAAGGCTTTGCAGTCCTGGAATATGAGTCAACTGAGATAGCAGAGATGGTTCAGCAGGCTACCAATGGCTTTCTACTTGCTGGGAACCATATCAGAGTCTCTTTCTGTGCTCCGGGCCCTCCTGGACGAAGTATGCTAGCTGCTCTGATAGCTGCCCAAGCAACAGTAAGTCTCAGCTTGCAGTACTGATTCTGTTTATAATTTGCCTCTTGGTAATCAATGCCATATGTCATGCATTGTTATTTTAATAATTTCATTTTGGCCTGGAGCAAGCTATGCATCTCGGTGAATGACACAGGCCTCTTTACTTTCATTGTAGTTTAACTAACACTCCTTTTCATCAGTTGTCTTTTAGTCATGATCTACGCTTTATAGATGTCATCTGTATTATCCAATATTTTGATAACCGTATTTCCAGTCACCCCTCAAGAGGTAACACAAAATACCAGTATATCTTGCAGGAACTAGAAGTTTTTTCCATTGGTTAAAATAACCCCCCCAAAATGGACTACTGCTTCACATTGCTGTAATCATTAAATCCTCAACTTGTACATAGACGCCCTCTTCCTGCATATAAGAGCCACGAATGCTACATCTCTTTCTCTGTCAAAGAATCCAGATACCTTTTTGATTCTGTTGTTATCTTTGTCAGGCATTTAACCGTGGGAAAGGGCTTCTACCTGAACCCAATCTTCTTCAGATTCTGAACAGCCTGGGGAATCCTTCATCTCTCCAACTCTTACTCAACCCCCTACTTCATGGAGCCATTGGAGGAAAGCAAGGTAAGCTCAGATAAAGAATTCTGAGTCTGAAAGCTACTTCTGGGCTTGACCAAAGTGATATTTAAAAGCTTCCAGCCTACAAGCACATTGATAATACTTGATTTCCTCTTAATATCTGCATTAGAAAAGCAGTATGGTATAAATACTTTGTGCTTAGAAGCTAGGCTTGGTTTCTGATGTTCTAACCCAGGGGTGTCAAACTGCTGTCCGGTTACATCATGCAGAGGCCATGCTCACCTCAGCTCCTGCAATGCAAAAAAAGTTGCGATGCGTTGCAATACATCATGTGACGCGGCCAATTTGACACCCGTTTTCTAAACTAACCAGTAATATAGCTTAGAAACGTGAAGCATGGGTTATGCCATACAGCACTTTTATGAAGCATTTCAGTCCTTCCTAGACTTAGTAGGTTAAGCCATTTTTTCTTCTAATACAGTAATGGCAAACGTTTTAGAGACTGAGTGCCCAAACTGCAACCCAAAACCCACTTTTTTATTGCCGGGTGCCAGGTGGGTGTGGCCCACTGGATGGATGTGGCTGTGGTGGTCATGGCAGATTGGGTGGGTGTGGTCAATGTGGGTGTGATGACCTTGATGTTGCTCGTGGAGAGGGACGTCTGTGGGGGCGGGCAGGGTTGGGGGAGATCCAGGGGGTCTCTGGCAGGTGGAGCGGTGGGCAGGAGGCTCGTCCTGCGGGGCGAGGTAAGGCAAGGCAGGGTGGGGGTGTCATTGTCACAGGGAAAGGTGAGGCAAGGGCCGGGGCAGCTGCTGCCTGACACCATTGGCCCCTGCACACAAAGACCAGCAAGCGCATGGGTGCTGGGATGCATCCGGCCATGTAGGACCTCGGCCAGTTAGCGGGTGGCTGGTTGAAGAGGGATGGTTGCCATCTCTGGGGCATGGCACGCGTGTCCACGAGAGGGCTCTGAGTGCCGCCTCTGGCACGCGTGCCATAGGTTCGCCACCACTGCTCTAATGTATACATTTTTCATTTTTTTATACAAAGCCAAAATATTACTAAAACTCTTTATTAGGCTACCCAGTGTGTTTGTGCCAATCAATCCATGTGCCAATGCTATTAGGCAATAACATTAACAGAAACATTTTGGGGGGGAAAAGCCCTTAAAATTCAGTCATCAAAAGCCAAATTCAATAAAATATGAGCCTCCAATGACTAAGAATTTCAAAATTTGTTTTATCTCATACTTTTTGCAATATTAGTAGGCTGCCCTGCCATTTTTCCTAATGGGATGAATTAAACTATATTAATTCTCTTTCAGGAATCCTTGGAGCACCACCAGCAGTATCTCTTCTAACCAACCCAGCTCTGTTCACAGCTCAACTTCAGCTGGCACTCCAGAATCAAACACAAGCACAGCAGGTGACTTGTTCTCCAAGGATACAAATAGAAAAAGAGTGTTATTTTTTTTTTGTCAAGGAATGATTGCTGTACATAGCTGCTTATCCCACCATTCACATAAAACAAAATCAGGCACAGAATATATCCCTTCTTTGTCTAAAGTGCTCATGCAAATGTATGACTCAGTTCTTTCTCAGAGTTACTTTTGTACTTGGAAGTACATTGTGTGCATATGTGTGCATAAAATCAAACTTTATACTGGTCATTTAGCCTTTCAAATCAAAGCAATCTAGTTGTATGTTCAGCAACTGCAACTAAGTTTTGCTGATAGTGTAACATACAGCAGTTTGCATTATTGCATCTGGAGATAGAAATGTCCGTAGGCACTTGCATATATGCATAGAAAAAGTGCAGTGTAAGCTTTGCTTTCTAACTATCTCTTTCTCAATAGCTTTCCTAGCTTTTAGTTATTTCTAAATTTCTTATTTCTGGTCTTTCTGTGCTTTCTGCTCCAGAAGGCATTTCTTGGAAACTTGCTCTTAGTCCATAACCAGGTCTGGGCACAACTCCTGCAGAACAAGGAAAACCAGGCCATATTCCATGTGAGTGCAAGGCTTGGTCTCTGTGTGGAAATACGCTGATTGTGTGCACATGTGTGCAGTGTTTGTGCTCAGTGAAAGGTGCACTGCAGTGACCATTTTCCAGCCTTTCTCATACCGTGGCCTCAATGCAGAAGATGTACAATGTACTACTAAACTTTTAATTTCAGCCTAGCAACTTAGGCTGAAGTTGTTTAAAGTAGGATTAAGTAACTAGCATGTTTTCTTGCCATAACCTTGTGCAAGTCTTTAATACAAGCCCACTACGGATCCTCAGAAAGCAAAGGATGCTAAGGAGATCTTAATTCAGTATGTAGGTTTACTTTATTATCTGTGTATCTCTTTGAGTGCAGCTTTGTGTACTCAGAATTGGGTACTTTTGGATTCCTGAGATGATAGATTTTGTCTTATCAGCTAGCTGAACCAATGAGACATTGTGTATTTTATAAATCATATACAAATAAGATCTAACTTCTATATATGGGCAGTTGTTTCAGAAAAATGTAGTATTTTTCCCCATTCTTATTAAGGGATGAGGTTGTTTTTAATTACAGGCATAAAAATATCAGATCTGTTTAATACATTTCTATTTCCAAGAGTCTTCTGGTAGTATTACATTTAATGGGATTGATCCAATTTCATTGAATTTAAGATGCATTCCTGTGTTTTTCTTCATATTCTAGCTTCCCTAGAAATTAACTGCCTTTGTGAGCTCATATTCTGTGTTTAGCACTTTGGGTTTTCAGAACTGGACTTTCTAGATTTTGCCTACAATTATAAATAAAAGAAACCAGGACAAATGCCTGATAAAATATGCAGTAGTTTGGGGTGAAATTGTAAGGAAGTTAATTGGCCTTTCATCTTGTGGTTTTACACATGGCTAATACTCTTGATATTGTACCTCAGTTACAAGAGGATTGCAAGGATCTAGATACAGCTTTCAGTTTGCTTTGAGATAGAAAACACCTATTATAGCAATGGAAGGAAATGGCAATCAGAACTTTTGGAACTAACTTTGTCTGTATGCCTATCAAAAAATTGATTGGTACTGCAGTTCAACCTTTCAAAGTAGTAAAAAGTGAGATACTAAACTAACCACTTGTGCTGTGGAATCTTGTCTGCTTAGATCCTGTTTAAATCCTGTAATTTAGACTGTTTGTGGCAGCTAAAGTCAGTCAAGGTCTTTCACTTTACAAAGGGATTAAAATTTAAATGGATATATCAAAGTCATCAGGACACTTACTTCCTCCAAGTACTCTGTTTTTCAAAACTTGTAGAGACGTATTAGCACTCCTCTGCCAGATGTTTTACATGATATCTAAGGATCCCGTTTCTGGCTCTCTCATAGACCATCCCAGGTCACTTGAAGTATATGTGGCTATATTTCTTTCTGCTTAGTTCGCTTAGTTCACCTTGCTTGACATTAGCTGCTTGTGGCAGGCTTATAGCTTGGTCTTGCATGATTTTTTATGCATGTATGTTTCCTTTAATCTGAATTGTTGAAGCCTCTGACTTGTTTGCAGAAACCTGGAATCTTGGGAGAGTCTCCTCATGGTTCCTTGCAGCACAATCCTATGGGGATGTCAAACCCTCCAGCTTCTCAGGCCGGAAATCAGTTGTTCAGTGAGATGTCCTCAGGTAAGTGCTTAGTTATAGATGCCCTATTAAGAAAGCTTCCGATCTGTAGGCTTTAAGCAGGGGTTTCTAGTAGAAGTTGAGAAAGTTTTCTTGGATTCTCGATAAACAGAAAGATATAGATTGCAGAAGATTCCTGCAGTCTCGTAGCAATTGTCTCATAGCAAGCTGTTGGAATGCTTCATTTTCTCACTCAGCTAACTTTTCATTTGCTTAACTGAAAGGAGACTTATTTGAGTTGAGTAGACAGTGGTAAGATGTCCTTCAGATGGAAATGGATATTTTTGTTTTGATTTTGCCCTGGATTTCAGTATAGTTTTTGCTGCTCTTCTCAGAAACTTGGTGGAAGTTCTATTGGTGGGAGTTCTATAACTGCTATAGTTCTGTAAATCCCTGCCCTTTCTGTCTCCCGACTGTCTGGAAAAGAATATTGTGCTGAGCACAGGTAATAGACTACGAATACAAACAAAAATTTATGGCACTTTTTTAGCCTTAAAGTAAAAGAGGTGAATAGTTTATGACTAGAAATATGCTTCTATTTGTGGCCATGTAGAACTGAGGTTTTTCTATTGCTTATATATCTGTATTGGCAAGCTGCCAAGGAATTCTTGAATAACCTTTTGGAGCCTCTATTTCTAAAGATGTTTATTAAGACTGGAGGATATCAAGGTTTGCTATTAAATGCTCCTTAAAATGCTGCCCATCAAATGGTGATCATTTGTTGAGTAAATAAACTGATGTCTTAGCCCTACCATCTAATTCTGATAGCTAGCATTTGGATATACTCTTTTCTGGATTCATGTTTTCCCAGGTGGTTCTTTGCCAGCTGATGTTTCCCCAGGACCTGTGAAATCTACTGTCTTGCCATCTTTCCTGGGACCATTGGCAGCGGAGAGGGAGAATGCTGCAATGGGAACTCAGACATCCCAGCTGACTTCACCTGGCCTACAGGGTCTCACTACCTCCATTTTGGGATCTATGATCAGTGGGGTTCAGAAACCCTCTGATAACAGATCAGACAATGTTCCTCATTTAGCTAATGTAAGTAGGGCCATCAAATTTAATATTCAGCACCTGTCTTATGTTAGTGAAAATCTGAGCATTTATTTAATGGTATAATTTTATCGTTATTTACTGTAGTCATTTAGAAGTATGACAAATGAGAAACTCTTTATCTTTTTTGTGATAGAGCTTTTTGCCCAGTGCACTGGCTAATGCTCCCCTTTCCTTTTTATTCCCAATGCTTGCAGATCTAATTTCATTAAGGATTTTTTGTTTTATTTTGTTTTTATAGTTATGATAACTTGCAGGCATTAAAATCTGAATGTAAAATAACTGCTTTCATACGATAATTTATAGAGCTGGAATTAAAGGTAACTGCCTAGTTTTTTTAACTGCTAAAAATTTGAAGATTTTATTTTGTTGCTACCTAGGTAATTAAACCAGGGCCAGACTTAAGTGACTTGCCTTAATTGAAGTAAACTACATTCAGCAGTCCAGGAAATGGTGATTGTTGCAATTTTCCTTTCAGGTTTCTCTCCTAGGAGAGCCTCCGAAAGACTTCAAGATTCCTCTCAATCCATATCTAAATCTGCACAGCCTTCTCCCAAGAAGTAAAGTTGGAGGTAAGGAGCAATTGGCAGGAAGGATAACAAAGAGAAAATATTTGCTCCCCAATTAAAATCATGTTTAGCCAATATTTTAAAAAAATAGGTAGGAATTTTGGATGTGGCAGTTCCAATTTTTGAAAGATGCCAAGTGGGAAAAGACTGTTCTGAAATAATACTTTCAACAGGGATTTGCATTTATTCTTCATTTTTCTGTTTATTCCTTAGCTGTCGTCCTCCCATCCTGGCAAGTAGCTTTCTTTGCTAAGCTTGGGATTATATAAATTATTTAGTTTACTTGTTTTACTAGGTTTGTATGCCTTTCTGGTCATCAACTGACTCTGAATGGCTTATGCTCCTCTACATAAACAAGGTTAAACAACATAAATGATTAAAAACTAAACATTTTTATGCTGAGGAATGATTTCAGTCTGTTAGTCTGTTTCTCACTGTTAAAATAAACCTAGCATTAAAATTATAGATTGATCATTTCTTTGTCAGTGGGCAAATGTACAAAATCAGCAGGGGATCAAATAATTCTTTTCCTTCACTGTACAGGCAGTTCTCAGTTTACAGTTACAATGGGGCATTGCAAATGGCAGTAAATGCAGGCTGATTGCTGTGTGCACAAAATGCGATCATGTGACTGGAGGGGGGATGGATATTGGAACGTCGACACCGAATCGTAAATAGCTTTTCGAAGGTCTGTTGTAACTTTTGACATCATGTCAAAGACTACCTGTAATGCATTGACTAAAAAGTCAATGCCATCTGAGGCTGCCTTAACAGAAACATTGTATCTAGATCAGAGGTCCCCAACCCCCGGTCCGTGGACCAGTACCGGGCCGTGGCATGTTAACACAAACAAGCAAAGCCCCATCTGTGGGATGCAGGCAGCACACAAAACCACGCACCCTCCAGTCCTCGGAAAAACCTCTCTCCCTGGTACCCAAAAAGTTGGGGACCTCTGATCTCATTCATGAGGTAGTTCCATTTTAATCTGTGCTGATTAGCCTGCTCTTGGAGTACTGCGTCCAGCTGTGGGCATCACATCCACCAAGAGGGGTGAAGTAGTTGGAATGAGTTTGGGGAGAGCTACGAAGATGATAAAGGATCTTGAAGCCAATTCCTAGGAGGAATAGATAAAATGGCTGCCATATTTAATCTATGGAATTGAAGACAAGAAGTAAGGTTTGGGCACACAGTTGATACTAAAAGAATGTTGATTCAGCCGAATATTAGAACAGAGCCGTTCAAATATATACAGAACACTAGCACTTTTTGATTCCTTATGCACAGCAATACTGGAAGGGAGATAACAATAAAAATTCTGTATGTGGGGCTTTAATATCCATATAATACAGATGGTCTTGGAACAACTGTACATATTTTAATTATTTTAATTATAATAATCATTCATCATTAGCTATTTTCGAAAGACTATCCGGCATGAATAGAGAGGGATTATGTAAATTAATAGATTCAAATAATTTGTTTAAATGTTTAAACAGGGACTAGTGATAATAGTAGAATAAGCAACAAAATACATAAATCTTGCTAAGTTTTGTTTGTACAATACAAAATACCTTGCTTTACCAAAAGATGCATTCTCAAACCCTTGAAAGTACATAGAGAGACATAAATTATGTTTCTGTTTTGGTATTTCACTTCTTTTATTAATCTGGTTGCTGATTCTGATTAACAAATATTCAGTCTGTAGAATTCATTCCCAAAGAGGCAGAGATGTTGGGTAACTCTCAAAGAGGATTAGACAGATTGTTCATGGTTGTTGCGTGTGTGTGTGTGTGTGTGTGTGTGTGTGTGTCTTTTAAAATACTAAAAATGTGAATCCTGGGCATTATACTAACAAATAAAAGAAAAAACAAACACCAGGATATAATAAACCAGCCTGTTTAATATAAACAAGCCTGTGGTTATATATATACTACTGCTGGGGAAAATAAATGAAAAGGCACTATTCAATTTCTGCTTGTGGGCTCTCTCTTGGTATCTGGTTGACTGCTCTGGATACAGAATGCTAGACTAGTTGCTTCTTTAGTCTCATTCAAGAGAACTTTCCTGTGATCCCATGCTTGTATCATAGTTTAATCTGCTACAAATATAGGATGTTCAAAGATGAAATGATAATACAAAGAGAAATTATGGCTATTCCTGGTATGTGCAAGTACTCATGGAAAATCTGTGCTTACATAGTACAAATATTCCCCATGTAGTCTTGCATTTAATTTAAAGGAATTGTAGTCTCATTATTGCATATTCACTTTCCTTGCAGGTGGAAATAATAAAACATTCAGCCCGAAGACTGGTGTACTTGGCAATGCTTCCAATCCCAGAATGCAGCAGGCATCCATGTCTGATCTTCTCCTGTCCTCATCTAGTCAATCAGAAGATAATTCTGCATTTGACTATCAGCCTGTGAGTATTAGTAAATTATTTGTGATTATCTAAGTTGGAAAAGGGGAAAGACATGCAGGCATACGTAGGTTTTTGCTTTTTATTAGTGAGCATATAAAATATTAGGTGAATGTTTCAGGGCCATACTTGTCTTTAGTGGTGGCAAAATTTTCTTGAAAAGATCTGTTCTCTTTCTTATTTCAAAAGGACTTGGTATCACGAATATATCCCCAGGCCAGAGAGACAGCATCCCAGCTAAGTGCATTTGCACATAAGAAGCAAAAGGTAAACATTAATTGAATGAAAACTGTCCACTAGTTAAACTGGACCAGATTTTAGGGCGCCCCTAAGAAGATGCCCACTTCTGTATCTGTTTCTTCTACTAACCTGTTCTTGTGTAGCCAAATGGCACCATTCTGTATATGAGGGGAAAATAGCAGCAGTATTGGCCAGGGATGTGCATAGATCTATCACCAGTATGTGCATAATTACATATATTAGGAAATATTTAAGAGGAAGCTATCATTAGCTAGAATGGAGAAGGAGCAGAGGAATGGGTGAGAAGGAAAGTGTAAGGAGTACACTGGAAAAGTATTGATTGAGAACACAGCAGATGGCAAGAATGTTCCACTTTAAGTGCCTGTTTCTGATTTCAGTCAGTTTGTACTTGCGTAATTCCTAAATATTGAAATATGAGGGTTTGCGTGCAAGCAGCTAAAACAACCCAATTTCTCTTTCAGGTCTCATCTCCTGGGTTTGAGCAAAACCATCTAGGAGCTCCATTGCCCCCATTCTATGCAGGGTCGCCAACCTCATATTTCACAAGTGGCCTTCAAGCTGGACTCAGACAAAGCAATCTGAACAAAGTAATTTTTTATCATTAAAGTAGTTTGAAGTTCATGTACAAATTAACTTTGGATAGCTTTCAATATCATATTGCAGTTGTTTTCACATTGCTCCAAGGTTACTTCAAAACATCAGGACCACCCACCCAGAGTTTCTGTCTTGTGCAGTTGTTTCTCTGGACAGCACAATGTTTGACTACCAGTTGCCTGGCTTGACAATAATCTGCTTGTCTTTGTGTTTACACCTGAAGACATGATGTCTTACAAAAACAGTTTCAGATACAACTAGTAAGGGATACAGTTGCTGTAAAAAGAAAGTATTCACACAGTGGAATATTTGATGTTAAGATTTGTTTAATTAAATGAAAAGTTTGGCAGACTATTGTGAGATTGTGTGGGACAGCTGGAATCCAGACTACACATTTACTTATTTTTGTGTGCCTCCAAGATTCCTTCAGGGGACTTTCTCCAATAGTACCTATGCCTCTCTCCCCAACTTACACATACTATACCTGAGCAAGGTGTCAGAAACCTTTCAATGAAATCAAATGTTGGTTTGATTCTTTCCTTATCTTTCAAGGCTATTGGGATGCCACCAATGGGCACAGGAGAGAATAGCCTTGGATTAGGACCAACTAGCCCTTCCCACAGTAGCTACTCAAAGGTGAGATGATTCAATCGAAAAGGAATTCTGAAACTTGGAGGTCCTCCTGAACTTGTCATTCCCCTGCCCTGCTTCTCTCCTTCCTTCCTTACTTTGTTTGTCCTTTTTTTTTGCAGACTCCCATTGGAGGCCAGAAGCGAGCCTTTTCTCACCTGCTACCCTCTCCAGAGCCTAGTCCAGAAGGCAGCTATGTTGGCCAGCATTCTCAGGGCCTGGGAGGGCACTATGCAGACTCCTATTTAAAGCGAAAGAGGATATTTTAATCCATTTCTTAGTGAAGCACACTTCTTATCCTCCCTAGCCCCAGTGTGTACATTGTTTGTGAAAATATTTTTACTGTTTTATTTTAGTGTTTTTTTTTAAATGCTTGTGTGTTAAAAAAAACATACCTTTATGCTTCTAAGACCAGCTACAGTCTGTGAAGATGAGCCTTGGATGTTTGCTCCCAAAGAGCACTACATTTTCCCAGGTGAAGCTATATGAACAATCATGTGAAGCTTTGCCAACTCTATTCAGCTGGACCAAAATCAAATTGGGTTTTTTCCACATTGCTTCTTCCTCTACAATTCAGATTAGGGTCTTCTTCTTGAAAGAGCCATGCCTTCTAAAGAGATACAAGTTCCTCCCTTTAGACTCCTAACAAAGGCATGTGTCCTCTAGATGCTTCACAATACAGCGGAGTGAATTGTGATGAAGGTGGTGGTGATGCTTTTTGTCCAGTGGGAAACAGAGTTCCAAATAACTGTAGACTATCACATTCATACCCCTGGAGTATTCAGGTTGAACTGAGTCTTTTATTTTCTCTACAAGCTTTTTTTCATTGGTTTCTTTTTAAAGAATACGTCTATTTTGCTTTTGTAAATATTTGTAAATTCCCTTTTTTTAAAAAAAAAATCTGGGCTTTTAGTTGCTTCTTTTTAATATTAGCTTAGAAACATTGGATCTTGGAGTTACATCCAAGTCATCTTGAATAATGCTTTTTTTTTTTAAGTTACTGTCCTCTTAGGTGTAGTAGTTTTTAGTCTAGACCAATTTCTTTATGAGGTACAAATGATTTTCTTCAGTGTGTTTTTTCTGTTTTGACTATTATCTTAATGCTAATCCTGTGATCTGATATATTTTAAACCAAACTTTTGTGGCTGGGACAATCTTTGGGCATTTCTTTCTAGAGTGACTTGTTTTCTTACAATGACACTCCTTAGTGACACATCTGAATTTTTGATAGAATCCAGCTTTTTATATGGTGCCTGCAGATGGGCAGAACTGCCCAACTACTGAATTGGTAGTTGGAATCTTTATGCTATGTTAAGGGAGGATAGATAGAAAGCACAACCTCCTCCAACCAGAGTGGTTTGGGCAAGATCCAGGTTTAAACTGTTAACAAAGAAGAGCTTAATCAGTTCCTTAAGCTAGTTTAGATTCAGGATAGACAATATTGTCCATTCTCAGAGGAGACCTATATAGGGTTCATTTTGAGAGAGTGGGAGTCTGTGGCCTTCTCCCCAAGGGATTTAGAGTTCTGCTTTGATATAATGAACTATTTCTGTTTCATAAACATGCTACAATATTTCTACTATAGATGCTGGTTTACTGTATTTGTCGCTGGATTTGAAATCCATCATCAGCGGGATACCAACTTTCTAAAGTAAAGCTATATTTATATCAAACTTCACCATCTGTTGCATTATTCATTGAGAATGTACTACAAAATAATGCTTGGTTGACAGAAACTTGTGCACCATATGTATATCTGGATCTAGAATTGCCTTACAAGAAAAAATAATACATATGAATAGCGTTCTGTCAAATTTTTGCGCACACACACACACAAATCAAAAAGGAATTGTTGACCTTTTTTTAACACTCCAGAGGTTGAAAAGAATATTAAATATCACTGGTGGGTTTTGTTTGTTTGTTTGTTTGTTTCCTTGCAACTTGTCTGATGGATGGACTTTCATAATTTTCAACAATAACAGTATTTCTGTTATTAGGGTATCTTTTGAGTTACATATATTAATAAAACTCATGTCTGTAACCTTCAACTGGGTGAAATGTTGCATCATAGAGCAAAACTTTTTCAGGCAAGGTATCTCAAATGGGTTAATTTACAGAATGCCAGCACCCCTTATTCCCAAGGCAATGAAATTTGGGGAAATCGTGGTTGCTTCAGCACTACCAGGTTGCTGCTTCTGAGCTGCTGCTGCACTGCTGTAGCCACATGATCCTCATTTTTGGCATTCCCCAACATTTTCCTGGTCACTAGCTCAATCCTTTGTTCCTGCCCCTCCCCCCCCACAGAAGCCACTTATGTCCCTGCAGAGAGGGAAGGAGGGAGGGAAAGAAGAACAAGGAAGGAAAGAAAATGAGGGAGTAAGGAAGATTTCCAATACTCACTGCTAGTTTCCCACAAGGAAATTCAATGGGGAAGCTGACAGGAAGTTGGAGATCATTCCCTTTCCCACTTTTTTTTTTTTTTTTTGTCTGAGGTCATTCTGTTTCTCTGTTTAGGTAAAATATTTCTGAAAAATGACTTTTTAAGCTGCAGGAAACAAGATACCTTGGCATTTCTTTCCTGCAGTGAATTGAATATATTCTAGAAAATATGTTGTCTGATATCATTCCCCTCCCATGTAATCTTTGTAAGAAGAAAGTAGTTAAAAATCTATAGTAGGAAAATAAACAGGAGGACTCTGCTAGCATCTTTCCCAACAAATGAATTTTATTATAAGGCATTAGAGGTAGAGGTAGATACATCTGACTTTTTTGCCCTCTACATAACAGAAATCCTAGTGGCAATGCCTTGAATGAGTTCTATATTGACTGAGTCTCCAGCCATGCCTGATTATTCTTGTCCTTTTAAAATAAGGTTCAGTTTCCATACATTTCATTTTGTTCAATTGAACATCAGAGTGCATCACATACCGATCAGAACCTGCAAAATTTCAGCAGTTTCTACTGATTTTACAATTTTTTATTCTTAGTGCCCACTCTCCCCAGAAAAAAGGGCAAATCTCTCTCTTTTCCTCTAATGTTAATTGACTGTAATTTTATACCAATCAGTTAGCAATTAAGCAGAATTGTAGCTTTAACAAAAACCTGTTTTGTCAGCGATCACCTCATTTTGGGGAGGAAATTTTATTTCTTCAACTCTTCACCATCTCCTGATTCTAAACCACAAATGCCAGGAATATTAACTAAGAAGTCTTAAATTTTTAGCCTACTAATGGTTTAAATATAATTCACAAGCTGAGCAATCATTATACTGGTGGGTGGAACCTGAACTGGTTAGATTATTTCTGAATTCCAGAGGTCAATTTTATTTTTCTTCTCCAAGAATCCCCTATTACCATGTTTCTTTTCTCACTTTGAAATCCTGGCTGCCCTTCCCACCCATTTGCTGTCCCTGTTGTTTGCTAGGTTCCAGAAAATCTGGTCTGGAGCAGCCAGAATGACCCGGGTTGCTCTGTTTGGTTGCACTAACCATAATTCATGAAAATTCATTGTCTAATGATACCTCTTGCCACTCCCTACTTTTCTAGTAGGGTCCCATTTTTTGAGAGATGAGGACCATGGAGGGTGAGCTGGTATGAAAGATTACAGTGTGGCAGCAGTTTCCCCAGATGGAAACACATTCCGGAAAGTGGGGTAAGAGAAGAAGCAACAAACCCAGAGGTAGATAGGAAAAGAAAGACAGCTCAGATAGCCATTCCCTGAAATCTCCCAGGATATATCCATTAGGCTGAGGTGGTAAGGGTTTGCTTTGGCAAGAATCTGTTATATGTGAGCAAATAAAGTACTGAACCCGGGTTGAATGTTCTTGGGCTTAGCCACATTTGCCATCTCAATGCAGTTAGTATCCTGGCTATTGAAAGAGTATCATACACACACACACACACACACACACACACACAGATCCCTCAAACCAGTAATAAGAACTATTTTTTCTTCCAAAAATATTGTATTGATAGAAAATATTGATACAATTTCTAATACGATTATGATGGAGGAAAAGCAAGTATTGTAAAACTGCTGGACAATTAAAAGGTACTTTCCTTTTTTACAACATGGAATAGAGCTTTCAAACCCGACTGCTAGGATCATTTCAATCTTTCTCACATTGCTTTCCCTGAAGTTTCCATTTCACAGTTATCATTTCAGCCAGAAGGATCTCCGAATTGATGCTCTGTTTTCCAAAAACATCCCTATTAAATCAGTTGATAGACAAGCTGGGGAAGAAAACATTCAATGGATTCATACAATAATCTAACTAATAACAAACTATGACTTTTTCAAGAATCTAAATATTTTGTAATATGGACCTGAAGACAAACTCAAACCCACTCCATGATACCACTGTTAGGGGCAACTTGCAAATCATAGCCATCCATACTTCCAACCCACAAAATCCAATGATCATATGGTAGCTTGTTTTTATTTCAGGATCTCTCCACCCACACAAATATGCTCAAACTGTATTCAAAATATACATCATACTAGCTAGATATAAACATTTGCATTGGCACTTGGGTCTGTGCTAATATTTAGATAAATAATTTTATTAAAGTCACAGACCAGCATTAAAGATAAAAGCATTAAAAATAATAGGAAAAAAGACAATATATTACAATTAGCGGTGGATTATCAGTGGGCAGTCAACATCTGCCTAATTTTGCAGGCAATATAACAAAATGTAGCCATAGAGAAACTACTGTACATCATAGTGATCTGAAAACATCAATTGTACATTTTTAAAAAATCAGTATTCCCTAGTTATTTTATCAGGTGAAGTGTTATAAAGTGGGTCCATGAGTTGTTATAGAAGATACAGTATAGTATGACATGAGTTGTAGTTTTGTTAGCTCCTTATCCCAATGTCAGGTCATGGGATTTTTTTTATCAGCCCTCCAAAGATGCTGTAGGAAGTGCATTGCAGCATGCTAATAATGCACTTTGGAGATGGGAGACAGTTATACTCGCTTTAAAAAGAGGGATTTGACTGCACAAAAAGCATTCTTAAGAAAAGCACACTGATCTTGTTGGATTTTCAGATCTTTGGTATGCTATTTAAATGCACTAAGTGAACATTCATACCCCATCATTAAGAGCCCTTCCCTGGAAAGCCGAGATATTGAAATTTTTGTGAAATGGTCCTGAACCATACTGTCCTCTGTAAGGAACGAACTCAAACCTGTAATTTTTAACAAATATGCTACAATGTAAATCCAGGCACCTGTTTTGACTTTAGATAAATTATCTTTCTCCTTAGTACTACATTTGAGACACAATGAGCTACCTGAAACATAGCTTTTAGGAATTTGGGCTGCATCCTTTCCAGAGGAGTTAAAGAGGAATATAAACCCCAACTGCACAAGAAAGAGTAGCTGTTCACAAGCCTTAGCTGAATGTTAACTTCAGTGCTGCTGGAATATACTATGCTCCTCTGGACAAATAAAAAGAATTGCTGCCACTGGTTTTGTTTTGCTGTTGTTGTTGTTTTGAGCATTTTGAATGATACAGTTTTGATATGCACTACGTTTAGTAGAGCTGTGAAAAACCATGACCAAATATTTAAAGGATTGACCAAGCTCAATGTTCTGGTCCTTCATCTTACAGGCATGCAATTTAGGTCTTTTTTCAAATATCTTAGGTTTTTTTACCATAGTTGATTTCAAAGTTTCTTCAGAACAGTAACTAGCCAGAGCGTCCAGGGCTTGTCTAAGTTCAATTTGCATTTGTGATAAAAGTACAATATCATCAGCATACAACAAGAATGCAATATGTATATAGCTAATTTTGGAGGATGGCGTTCTTCCTGATTTGGAGGGCGGATGAGAAGTTCGGTGTATTGTGTAGTGTTTAAGCCCCTATTGTGATGAGTTTATGGTATATAATCTCAGAAAATTAATTCGGTGACTCCATTAAACCAGTTGTGGGAACAGATCTTCACAAACCATATTCCCTTCCAAGGCAATCCAATAAGACGTCTTTGCTCCTCCCTCTGCGTTTTGTCGCCCTAGCAACCGACCTCTGACCCCGCCTTGCAGTCACGTGGAACGTACAATGGCGGCCTCCTGGGCTGGTGGTGGCGGCGTGAGTGTGACCCTGGGCTGGGGGTGGCGTCGCCTCCAGTTGCTTCTCGGAACTGCTGGGCGATTTCCATTTCGGGGCTTTCGTACTACAGGTGGGGTGGCGTCTGCAGCTGGAAGCATTTTTCTCTGGCCTTAAAGAATAGAGGAGGGAAGGATGAGGTTTTGTCCGCCAGGTGTTCATTTTCTCCTTGTTTTGTGTTTTGAGAAGATTCGGACTCCCAGCGAATCAAGAAGGAGAAGCGCGATAATCTTTTCCTTTTCCCCGCTCCAGCCTTCCCTTCCAAACTTTTCCCCGCTCCAGCCTTCCCTTCCAAATGTTTGTTGTCTCTATTTTACTTTACCTTTACCTTCTCTACCGTTCGAAAATGTAGATAACTGTTAATTTGTATCATTTCTACTCTCCCCACTCCTCCTCCCCCCCGCGATTCCCTTTATTGCTTCCGAGATAACCTGCACCGGTATTATTCTCCCTCTTTGCTCGTTTCTGTGATTCTGTGGGATAGTTTAGCATCAAAAATGACAATAATTCAAGGTCATTAATAAGTCCCCGTAACCCTTTTTGAGATTTTGAGTCTCCTTGTCC